CGCACACCCACACCTGAAGCTAGTGTTAATAAGTGTTATATCTGGTGGCACTTAGGAAACCACAGGTGAAAGTTTCATACACATGTTCCACAGTATCCATAAATGTGAGAAGCAAAGAGTCATGGCTACCAGGCTGACACAAAATAAGTCCTCCGCTGAGACTTGTGTTTTTCCAATAAAAATTGATTTAGTATTCAAATCTCTCTCGGTAAGGACAGGACAGTTTACACCGCTGAGGTTTTACTGATAAGAAAAGTAGATTTTTCATGAATCTATATCACAAAGTTCAAAACCTGAGTAAAAGCCTGCAGCATTGAAATTAATTGTCAAAAAAACTAACATTAGCTTTCCCTATGACTTTCCCTATGAACATCCAGTTCAGTCATTTCTGTCAGTTCAGTTTTCCATTTTTATTTACTGACCAGTGAAGCTGAATTCTAGGCCCCAGTGTTCAGTGAGACGACAGCAACATGACAAAACAACAAGCCATACATGGTGTTCAGTAAATTGAAATATTTGAGCAATTAGAATTATGAGCCCAGGGGGCGCTCTTACCGCCACTTCTGGTACTTACAAATAACTCCATAATTATTTTACTTCCTTATACTGTAGATGGATGTATGGACTCTGAGTTGATCAGTGAGAAATGGAGTGAGGAGCTGATGAGCGAGGGATGCTGAAGAAGCGCTCTCTCAGTGAGTGTCCAAAATTGATCAGAAGAATGAACACATCTGGCTAAGTGTTTTACCAATGCTGTGTCCGAGTTGTACTGGCTGAAGTGTTTTTAATGGAAAAAAGTCTAGGTTTCAAGTACTTTTTTCCATCTCACCATAATTGATAGGACATCTCTACATCACAAGGACGCTTTTTTTTTTTTTTTTATTGATGACACATTCCGCACAAGCACAGGATCATTGGAGTGTATGCTTCTTTGACAAAGACATTGCATATCCTCTAAAATATATTCCTTATTTGTATTACATATATACAGTATATATTTTACAACATATAGTTTATATAAAAAATAGATTGGGGATTTATTAGGAAATGAAAGTTTCCCTCTCAGTCAGTGCATTAATATCTATCCCACTGGTGAACTCACTTCTCCGCAGGTGACAGAATGACCACACTGGGAGCTCACACTTAATTTAGATATACTTCAAAATGAGCTAAATATATATTTTTTTTGTGTTCACGTCCACATGTCCATGTGAATGTTTCAGGTTGGACATAATAATGATTCTTCTTTGGACCAAACGAATAAACAGTTACATCTGGTTATTATTTTTTTACTAACAATTTCTCCTCACTTTATTATTAGTAATTCTGCATCACAGAAGAGGAGCTGATGAGGAGGAGGAGAAGAAGGACAAGAGGAGACACACAAACGTCAGGTAGTTTAACACCAGCATCACCTTCAAACATCTGCTCATGACACCGTGTCTGTCGTTATAATAGAATGTAACAAACAAAACAAAAACTAGACAAATTTTAAATGTGTTTGTGCTGTTAAATCAATAGAAATCACAGTGGATCCCAGACAATAGACTGACAGTGTTTTGTTTTGTTTTTTTTTTCCCCAAATAAGTTAAGCATGTCAGGCCACAAGTGATGACGTTCACCGTCATCGACTGTCTATGCTGCTGCCTTATATGAAGAGGAAATTAATAACATGCCACTCCAGCCTTCATTGTGCATCAGACAGTGTGCCAGTGTGTGGAGAGAAAGCAGCAGGATTTGGCCTGAGCGGAAGTGATGACGCCAAGGGACAGAAAAGATGAGATAAAGCCAGGAGAAAAAAAATAATTAAAAGGAAACACTAGAAAATACTGTAAGACAAAAAAGAGGAGAAATGAGTAGGTGAAGAAAAAAAACCAAACAAACAGAGATGAGGAACAACTGTGTTGTTGTTGGTGACGTTCTGACATCTGTAAAAATCTGCCGCTGCTCTGTCAGCAGTGGAGGAGTTCAACAGGCGGACCATGTTGGAAAGTTAAACGTGTGTTTGTTTTACTGTTCATTACTGTTTGTGTTACTGGTGAACAGATTAGTCTTTGAGATCCTGGGCTGGATATGATCACGTTAAGGTTTTCTTCATGACAGCACGTTATGTGACCTTTAAGAGGAGTAGTACAGGTCCTTGATGTCTAAATTAAATGGAATGGACTGGTTTGTCGTCTTTACCTTTAAATGGTAATGAGTCACTGCATGTTCTGCCCACCTCTTCTCCGGGGGGAGGACCTGAGGATGGCTTTAGGTAACCATGGCAACGACACACAGTAAGAGAGACTAGGCTGCTGGACAACAAATTGTTGGTGGGGGGTGGGGGGTCTGCCCCATGGTTGGGGATGGGGTTTGGATTCTGGGTTCTGCCGGCCTGGGTCTGTTGACCTGGGCTGACTACTGCTCACCCGTGTGCTGGTTCTTCGGCCTCATTGCTGGTGGGGGTGGTATGTCTCAGGAAAGGGAGCAGACACAGAAAAAGGAACTTTACAAATTTAATGTGTAAATGTTGGTTGAATCAAGCAGAAGGAACTCAGGCAGTGCAGCTGAAGCAGGGGTCCAGGTGGGATTCCTGCAGTGGAGGCAGATGGTGACCACATCAGTAAGCGGACAATCTGGAGCAGTGGCAACAACGATCGGGTGGAGATGGTGGAGAGCGAGCCTGATGAGCTGGGATCGCCGGCAGGTGTGTGTTATCATCAGCATTGACATAGCGATGGTGAGGACACAGGCGACCAGGTACACACACATCCACCACACCCAAATGCACTGACGGTAAAAAAATCACACCAGGCAACCAGACTATATACAATGTTCAAAATAATATAAAAAAAAAGTCCAAATAAAATACACCCCCCCCCCTCCCCCGCTGCCTGAGATTCAGTATAGTGTTGTTACTATCCCCCCTTTAAATTGGTATTTTACTATCCACCATCAGTGATGGGGTTACCCACTCCCACTCCCAATTAATAACCAGATGTCAGATGGAGCTCACCAGTGCCATCATAACATAATCAACTTTAAATAACAATAAGTCCCTATTTGTATATATATTTCCAAAATTCATCATCATGCTGGCCGAGTTTGCACACTCTAGCGGGCTGGTTTTGGCCCCGGGACAGATGTTTATCACCACCTGTGTTTGTCAGCCTGAAAATGGCTGTGTCATGGACTGGACTGGAAAACATACAGTGATTGAAAAGTATTGATGGAGTTCATCTGAGAGACTAGTGAACCGTTTTTAATGTTTCAAAGTTTCAAATTACCAACACGTGACTCACAGAGCTAAAGCATCAACATCCCAAATCTTACAATCCAACGAGATGTCCATTAATATGTCGCCCTGTTTAACAAAGCTTCTTTGGAACAAAAAAATCAATGTGTCTGCAGATGTAACTGCTGTGAAATCGATGTGAAACGTGTAAAAGGAGGAAACGGTTCAATCACAGGGAGGTGTCTGTTGTGTGGTATCTATTTATTCTAACCAACATAAACTCTTTGCCAATATGACAGTGTTGACGTCAGGCCCGTCTACGTTCAAGTCTGAAGTCTTATCATGTCAGCTGATGGAAAGAAGAAACCTCAGCTTTGTTTTTTGACCACCACTAGGACGCTGACGCACGTCTCTGCTGGGAACAAACCAGTTACGAATGAATCTGAGCAGGGAGTAGACATGTGGACAGATAACAGCAGAAATCAGTCAGCGGGCAGAGACTGGAGGAGAAGCAGGCTGCAGAGACGGGCAGAGATAAAGACAACAGACAGTATAGAAAAAAAAAGACAAGGAGAAAATGGTCTCCATTACAATCATCCATGTCTTCACTCCTAGTGGACTCCTAGAATCACCTAGAATGAAATGAGTGTCCAAATTTGGTAGAAGTCAAATGGACAGACTCATTCCAACCAGTTTACCTACACGTTACTGCACACAGCTGTGATGCCAAGCTCTAAACCTCACGGTGGAGCAGTGAAGTTGACTGGTCTGTACAACACCTGGTTCATCAAGGTGAAGACAGACGGAAATATAAAGACTGAAAAGCCATGGTTTTGAGAAGCTCTCCATTCATGGGCGACCCTGGAGAAGACCTCAGGGTGAGAGTCCACTGCAGTGGTTCTGCTGTCTTCTTCGATAAAGACGTCTGCAGGTTACAGAGGCCGCAGTTTGTTTGCGTCTGCGTGAGGACTTTCACAAACACGACCTAGCCATCGTCACGCTTTTTAATGAGTCCGTTGCCTACGCAGAACTACTGAGTGGGACAACAATGATTGACTGACAATCCGCTACGGAGTTTGGACAAAGCCGTGGCTCACTGCAGCACACAGACACACATGTACTGAGATAGCTGACACACTCACACAGCTGGCACTGTGGGGGTGTGTGTGTGTAAAGGGGAAGCCTGGTCCCGCATGGTCAGTGGGCAACAGAGTTAGTAAGCAACCACCAAGACCCAATAAGGACAGAGCAGAAGGTGTGAGTAAATGACAACAGAGCCCCCCCGCCCCCAAAATGTAGTCACGTCTTGTTCATGAAGTGATATCATTAGAGACAGTGTGTACTCTAGTGTGTACTCTCCGTATACATGTATGTGGTCATTCAGTGATCGGGTCCACTGACCACTCCTACACATTTTGTCCAGCTCAGTCCTTGTGTTTGGACCAACTTGTACCAAGGACTGCATTTATTTACAGATTAGAAACGTTTTTTTTTGTTCTTAGTTTTTGGTGATTTTTACGACACCTTTTGCTGTTTAACAATTGGAGATTGATTTGACCTTTAAAAGAACAATAAACAACCATTTCTTAAAAACCAGGGCTGAGTCGTACATCGAAAAAAGAAATTCCAAAGTGGGGCAATTTGTAGAGCAACACTCATCGATTTTTTTTATTTTTTTTTTATCTTTGTGCCTGTGCAAAAACAAGTTTGTTGCACATCTTTAAAGTATATTAAAGCAACTCCCGATGAAATAATTCTGATATTAGAACAAAGGTTTCATTATGAACTCAAGCCCAGTGTGATGAGTCTCTGCAGATCAAAGATCGTACACCTGAACAGCCTCCTCAGTCACAGGCTGTGGCTGTAGTGTCAGGCGACAGAAACTCACCACCAACTGTTCCTCTGACCTGCCTTTGTTGTGTGTTTTTTACTGTATATATTTAAAGTGTAAGAGTGTCTCGGTCACATATGGAGCAATAATTATTTTTCTCTGTTTCTATTGTCACAGCTGAAACTAAAACTGCCTGTGATCAAACACCAGCAGTGACAGCTTGAGGCTCAGACGCAGCCAAACAGACTCAAAGTGGTGAACACTCGGAGGCATCTGCTGAGCTTTCTGCTGCAACAGGAGCTGCAAGAAGGGTCGGGGATGAAAGAGAGGTTTTTAAACAGTCAGTGGCTAAACTTACGGTACAATTAGGCATTAGACAGCCCAGTCTGTTACTCAAACCAGGCTGTTTTGTTTATTGTTTTCTTCTCTGGCTCAAACCCTGTCCCCTGTGGCTGAATCACAAACCGGGGGCATCCTCTTCATCAAACACATAACCATCCTAGGGTGGTTTTTCTTCATGTATCTCTATGTCTGGCTGCAGCGCGCGCCGGAAACAGACCATAACGGTCCGGAGAGGAGCTGTACACTGCGCGCTTCTCCTACCCGTCCTCCAACTCCTCCACAGAACCCAGTCATCATTACTGGGCAACGTGCCTTGACTCGCCCGCCACCCCACCCCACCCCACCCCACCCCATCCTTCTCATCCTCATCTTTCCTTTTGGTTCGATGTGCGTCGAGAGATAGTCTCCTCCTCTCAACAAGTCTGAGCGCACGTCTATCCAACCAGATTTTACGCGTGCGCAAGCCCTCCAAGAGAATCCCCTGTGGTCGCACCCCTCCTCTTTCCGTTCTTCTCCGCCTTCACTCATTCATGACCCAAGATCGGTGACGTAGGAGATTCCATAGCGCCCACTGCCGTAGGCAAACGCAGGATGGTGTGGTATAAAAGGCGCACCGGTGACCAGTAACCGGCACACTCTAAGTCGCTCCGACTTGAGAACCAGGGCATCAGCGGAGATAGCAGGCTAAGGCTTTACTTCGCCCCGTTTAGCTAACTCGCTTTGGGCTTTGGTTCAGAATGGAAACCCTTTCGAATTCTCGGAGCCGACGATGCTCCGTGGCGCGCTGCTGCAAAAGTAAGTTCCTCCCGGTGTCACCTCTGTGTTCGGAGAACTTTTGGACACTGCGGACGTAGAGGCTGAATTCTGCTGCTAGATAGAACTTTGACAACCGATTCTGAGACACTTTCTGTTAGTAACACTGGGACTGAGACGGACGGATGGTTTACTGAACGGAGGGATTCAGGAGATGACGTAATGTGACTGTCCTGTTGATTGTAGTATATTTAACGTCTGAGAGTTTAATGTAGGTTTTTTAGTTAATTTGAATTCATATTTATTTTTAAGTTGTTCTGAATGATTTATTAGTGTTAATGCGGTGTCTAGAGCCCGGTGCTAATGATGTAATGCTTTAAAATGTAATGTTTTAAAATGTGTCTTTTTTTTGTGTTTAAAGCCACAAATGCTGTAGTTTTTGGTGAACATAACATTTTAATGCATGTTTTGAGTATTTTTCCATATTTCCTCAAGTTTTTACGGACATGACGGCGAATCCGCGGCGTTTTCTGACTTGATAATTAAAAGATAAGACTCTAAGCTTAAAGACAGCTGTACCATGTAAAATGACTGTGGTCGCTGTTAACGACGTGAAGCCACCTCCGGTATGTGGATGCTGCTCATCTTTCCTCTCTTTACTCACCCCTCGCCTCTTCTCCTCTCTCTCATCCAGGCGGTCTCTCCCTCTGGTTGGTGGTGTGGCTGGTCTTGGCCAAGCCCAGCTCGGTCTCGGGGTGCCCGCACCTGTGCGTGTGCTACCCGACACCCATGACTGTGAGCTGCCAGGCGCAGAACTTCACCGCCGTCCCTGTGGGAGTGCCCTATGAGTCGCAGCGCGTTTTCCTCCAAAACAACAGGATCACGGAGCTCAGAGTTGGCTCTTTTGGCTTCGGGACTCAGGTAAGGAAGGACGGTGGAAGATTCAATGTGAAGTTCAGGGTTTAGCTCTCTGACGCACGGGCGTGCACAGACAGGAAGATGCTTCAGACTAAATAGCATTTGAAGAATTGAACAAATGTTGTTTTTTTTAAATCTTTAATTAACTATGTGTGCATGTTTTATAACGTAGACCTAACTTTAACTTTAAGTAGAGGAGGCAGAGGATAGAGGCAGATGATGACAGCTGCTGTGAGGACCCCTGAAGGCAACTGAAAAAAAGAAGAGGAGAGTCTTTATTTGGACTCGGTAAAAATGAAGACTCAAAAAGAAAAGGAGTAAAGAAGTAGTTGTGAGTGTACCTGTCTGGACAGGAGACATAAGTGCAGAGGTGTTAGAGCTCCACTGGGGTCTAACCTGACCCATTTTTTTTTTAACAAAAATTGAATAATGGAGATTTTTTACATTATATCAAATAGAAATTGCAAGATGGAAAATTGTTGAACTTGGATCTGTGTCTTAGGTTCTGTGGCTGTTCTCCAACAACATCACATGGATTGAGGCAGGGGCCTTCAGTGAGCTGAGGGACTTGGAGGAGTTGGATCTGGGGGACAACCCTAACCTCCACAGGCTGGAGGGGGGAGCCTTCCGTGGACTTGAGAAGCTCCAGAGCCTCCACATGCACCGCTGCCGGCTCACTGCTCTGCCCCATGACATTTTTCACAAGCTGTACAGCCTGCAGTTTCTCTATCTACAGGTAGGAGTGCCATAGAGTCATAAACAGTTTAGATCACTCCTGCAGCCACCCACAGACTCATGTCACCTTACAAATATTAAGACTGTGTTTGCTGAACTCACACTGATAATCTTTTTTTATTTCCTTCAGGAAAATAATCTTCACTTCCTGCAAGATGACATCTTTTCTGACCTCATCAACCTGAGCCAGCTTTTCTTGCATGGCAATCGTATCCGCACCCTATCAGATAACGTGTTCCGTGGCTTGGTCAACCTTGACCGCCTCCTACTCCACGACAACCGCATCAAGCAGGTGAATCGTCGCGCTTTCCGCGACCTTGGCCGCCTGACCATGCTGTTTCTCTTCAACAACACCTTGGCAGAGCTGCCCAGTCAGACCCTGAGGGACACCCAAGGTATTGAGTTCCTCCGCCTCAACGCCAACCCTTGGTCCTGTGGCTGTGAGGCCCGTGCCCTGTGGGAGTGGTTCCGTGAGGCCCGTGTCTCCTCTTCTGAAGTCATCTGCGCCTCGCCTGCCTCTCGTCGTGGCCAGGACCTCCGCTTTCTGAGAGAGATGGACTTTGCTCTCTGCCCCTTGCCCGATCCCGGCTCCATTGCTGGCTCCACAACCACCACCTTCAGCACCAAGACTCGCTGGTGGTTTCACAAAAACAGGCCCCAGTCGTCCACCAAAGGTCTCTTCGAGAAGACGTCAGAAACCGTCAAGGCTGGTTTGTATGGAAAAGGCCCGTCCACGACCACCTCGGTAGTTAAGTATGAGCTGGGGGAGGATGAGCTGGCGCTGCCCAAACTTGACCAGGAAGAGTACTGGGCCAACTACGGGAATGAAGACTCAGGTGTCACCCTGCGGTGCTTCGAGCTCGAATGTCCACCTGAGTTTGATCTGCCTCCATCCTCCTCCTCCTCTCTTTTATACTCCACCTCAGCCTCCCTCTTCTCATTACTAGCCCTCTCACTATCCAGCCTTGATCTGATATTTAGCTAAAACAAACTCTTAGAGCCACACTCAGTCCCTTCCGGCCTGTTTTAAAGGCTGCGAGGACCCCTGTCAGACTGTCGATACCCCCTTTGCCAGCTTTGCTGTAAGCCAATCCTCATGGCACAGCGAGGGAGATAGGGGGACGGTTAGATTCTGAATCTGCCACCTACAGGGCTTTAACACTTTTCAGGGTTGCTAAGAGCTAATTAGCTAAAGTCATAAATCTATATCTACAATACACTACAGGTTTGGCGTTCTGTGTCTCACCTGTATGATGTCAAGATTCCCTGCAATCAGGGCAACGAGGGCTGACTCCATCTCTAGTATCAACGCGATTTTGATAGTCGTTGTGAGCGATGTGGTCAACTTGTGTCACCTCAACTTAGTTCAAATGACTAGTGTTACGAGTGCATCCAGTTTACTGGCTGCTAGAAATAAAATTACTGTTATTTTCAGTGCACAGTAATGACGAAACTGTAACCACTTAAAGTGTATGTGTACATAGATGTGCATTCTGTCAGTGTTTGAACAAAGTTTCATTTTCATCTTTTCCCAGGAAAACTGTGACAGCGAGTGTTTCTACTGAACAGAGCGCAGGTGAGAAGAAAAGAGAGCGAGAGAGGCAGAGAGAGAGGGAGAGAGACAAAGAGCAAGCAAGGCTGGAGGTGAAAATAAACTGAAACCAGGAGAAAAGAGAAAAAAATGGGGTGTTAAGAGAGGTGTCAGTAACAGAGGAAGATGCAGAGAGAGAAGAGGGGGAGGAGAGATCAGAAGATAAGAATTTAGAGTGAATGTAACAGCAGAGGATGAGGGACAATATTTATGCAGCAATAAGAAAATTTGCAGCAGGATGAAGGGCCAGTGCTGGTGGTAGAAGCAGCGAGCTGGAGGAGAGAAGTAATAAATCCATCCATGGTCTGTCGTGCCATCCATCATTTTCTGTAAATATGGTGTCATTTTCGACAACTAGGGGAAACAAATGCTTCTTGTCAGGAAGCCGAAAATGTGGGGTTTTTGAATGTCTTTCTGTGACATATATTGATATAATGTGTAAAAGACTTGTTGACGTTGACAAAGATGATTTACATAAAATATGACCAATCGAATATTTCCTGATACTTGATTTCTTTGGATAATCTTTTTGGAATGGGGGAAATCTGTGAAAGTCCAAAGTGCAGGCAACTTAAAATGAGGCAGAAAAAAGAACACACACACACACAAACACACACACAAAAAACACAAACACTAGAAGAGGGAGCAGATTGTCGCTGCTCTGGGAATAAGTTGTGATTAAAGCAGGCGTGAAGGACAGACCACATGGGGCCCAAAATGTCAGCCTCTCTGGCTGTGATTAGCACCACTGTGGTTGTGTGTTAGTTAATATGTGAGTGTGTGTGTGAGTGTGCATAAATGAGGATGAATAAATTCACAAGCTGGCGAATCTGCAAAAAGCAAATACGTCACTAAGTTTCTTCACTCTACTGAGTCACAGGCGTGTGAAGCCAGATGGAGCAAAGAGGTGCAATTTGGCTGACTTTTTTTTTTTTAATAAGGGGAGACCAAGGAGGCGACCAGAGAAAATAGCACACAGATTAAAGACTGAGATGTTTACTTTATGTAATTTGGAAGCCATGAAGTCTGAGCTTGAGAGAATCTTCACAGAAAGGAGAAGGAGGAAGTCACCAGATTAGACCTTTTACCCACATTTATTAAAGATTAATACAACCAGACTTAGTGTTTTCAGTAGGAAGACACAGCCTTTCCATCTCTGAAGGATGGGGTGAAGATGGAACAGGAGATAAACTGTAGCTCCTACGGCAAAGAGGCGATCAAGGGCAAGATCAGCAGGTAGTAGGAGTTTGGATGTAGGAGGAAACACACACACACACACACAACATTTAAACTGAATTGTCTTATGAAAGGAAGAATCTCGTTGGGAAATATTCCATGTCATATCTTAAGACGTCTAATCTCTTTGCAGCGTCAGTAGAAGGAGGAGGTCAAACTGAGCCAGGGGGCTCTTCAGTGGCCATGGCAGTGAGGTCACTGTCAGACGACCAAAGTGCCAGTTATACCATTTCCCTGTTTTAGCTTCTATTAGTATGTCACTTTTCTTGTCCTGTTTTGAATCTGAAGAAAATACTTTATATATACAGTATATTAATTATATATAGATGATTTATTGACATTTATTTTTTTTTCCTTTAAGAAATAATAGTATTTAGTGAAGAAAATAAATTCATACTTGTTTAACTAACCATGTTTTTCTCCCCTTTATGCGTGGGTGTTTGAATGTACTGTATGTCTTGGCTTTGCTTTGTTAAACACCTAAAGCAATATGATGGCACACACACACACACACACACACACACACACACACATACACACACACACACACACAGTGTTGCGGCAGCTTTCCAGCTCCTTGGACTTTGAAATAGAGAACTGACAAACAGAGTAACAGGAGGAGCACAGATGAAAAGTAAAGAGTGAGCAGGATGAAGGCTCATTACTGTTCCCCAGTCTCCCACAGCATCTTTATGTAACACCTGGTCTCACATCACACACAGACAATCACTGTAGAACTGAAACATTACAGGGATTACAGTTAAATGGATAAAACATGTTCAAAACCCAACTACACAACTACTGCTGATACTCAATTCCCATAGAGGTACTCAGTACCCAGAGCAGTATTCAACATTAAGAAAATATGTGTCCTATCTTCTGGAAATCTGTTCTAAAAACCCTTGTGCACAGATAATCTTGATAAAGCCTGTGTCTTTTTGGTAAAACCTCCAGTGTCCTGGAGAGAAGGAACATCATGATGATCACAGCAGAACTACTGTAAGACTGGTGGAGTGATACGAGGTAACGTCGAGTTACCAGCGCTAAACCGAGCTCCGGTCTTTCACCCGACACTGTGGCGCTGTCTCACTCACTGTCCCTCGCTGGGTTATTTTACCGATTTTTATAATAATAATATAAAATGTTTTCTTAATTATTATAATTTTATATTATTAATATATTTGTTAATGTGGCACTTTGGCCCAGAGACAATGCCTCTGTCATTGGTGTGGAACCTCAGGGTTCACCTCCTGGACAAGATCGAATCCTGGTTAGGGCGGTTGGTACCTCAGTGGACTCACCTCCCACAGGAAGGTTTGGGGGGTTGGTACCCCCCAAACCTTGTGACAAACAATGTGATTTAGGTGACCCTTTACCAAAAAAGCGGATATGGATGGATGGATTTGTTTATATCTATGTTTTTGATGTTAAGATAGTGGGGGGTCTGTTTGGGTGGTTTTTTCTTTTTTAAGGGGAAAATGAAATCAAGATACGAGTGAATCGACACACGAGTGCTGTTGTGGATCGGATTAAACTGGTATCTTGAAGCCCCACTGTACTTTCTTAAATTACTGTATGATTCTTTTTGGTTTGGACAGCTGTGTCTCTTCCTTCAGTGGGAGGTTATTTCATTCTCAGATCCTTGGTTTAAATATCTAAGAACCTGAGCTAGAAAATAAATTCTCCAACTACAGGGAGACGGAGAGAATGATGAAGGAAATCCACAGACAGATTCTGTTCTGGCTCTGAGCTCAGTCAGTGGTTAGCAGCTCGTCTTGTCTATATAAGGATGAAACAAGTGCATCAGGCGGCTCAGCTCTACTATTGGTCTTCCAGTTTGTGTGCAGCAAAAAAAAAAAAAAAAAGTCTATGACGCACCGGCTGCTTGCGAGTCCATCAATTGATTGGAAGACATCCTTGTCATTGGCTGTTGGTGGGGCGTGCACGTAGCTGCAGAGCCCGCAGACTGTTGAATGGATTTCTATGGATGACACCCAGTTGATTCATGAGAAAAACACAGACAGACACGGGGAGGAGGCTGTTCGAGTGCGACTTTAAGTGCGTCACTACTTTGTCACAACTTGTCTCCCCCTGCTATGCTGCCATCTTTCTCTCAGCACAAACAGGCGTCTCATTTTCTCGTGCACAGAAGCAGTTCGTATGTTGTTTGCCTTTTAGTCTTCAGGGGACGACTTTTCAGACGCCCATGTGACATTTTGTCCTGTCACCAGTGCTGTGTTCTCCTTCACACTTTCCCTGCCATCACACATTCCTTCCTTTCCTTTTCTTCCTTTCTCTTATGCCGTTTTTTTCTCTCACACTCTCTCTCCCTCAGCTCCAGACAGCCAGCTCCTCTGATTCATGCACTTTCTCTTCCTCATTCATAAAGTTACACACAGAGATGTGATCCTTGGTTCAACGTGTTTGTTTGGCGTGCCTCTCTTTATAACTAGATTTGGATTTCCTTTCAACTGTGCCTTTGTTCAACCAAAATAAAAATATTTTTTTAAATTTAGCTCCAGTTCCCTTTGTGCAGACTCTCACTCTGTTTTTTTACCATTTCAGGGCGATAACGAGGAGAATCCAGCTGTAGCAGCAACACCTTTTGATGCAGCACTGTGGTGTTTGGGCTGTGAACTGTGAACACCAATGCATCTGTGGCCAAAACCAGTATGTATGTATGTTTTTCCTTCAATTCATTCATATGTGTATGTGTGTGTGTGTGTGTGTGTGTGTGTGTGTGTGGAATACAAATATATGCCTAATCCTAATACTTGCCCCACTGACATTAATCTGAACCTAACCTTAAACCTCAAAATACCCCCCACCTCATTGGGCATCCACACCCCCCTAAGGAGAAAGTGTCCCGCAATAATAGTACCTTTAATAGCTCTTTTAAAAGTGTTGTTCCTTAATCATTATTTTAACCCCAAACTAAACTCCCAACGAACGATGAGCCCTGATCTTGACTTTTTCTTAAAAGTTTGAATCAGACACAGTCAGAACTGTGTACCAGACAAATATTTACAGTATTTTTAAAAGAACTTTATCATCATCTCAGTGTGAACATTAGCCAGAGAGATTTTGCGTCATTTTTGCTCTTGAACTGCCGTACGTCTCCTTTTATAAAAAAACAGAATCTGCTCTGGTCTGGTGTGATACAGCAGGCAGACACACAGCTGAGTACTGGACACACGCACATGGAAAAAGAAATATCACAAACACAGATGGACACACTTACAGTGTACAGACGTCTCATCACAGGTCATTACGTCATCCGTCATGATTAAGGTTAAAAAAACAAAATCAGTAGAATGAGGTAAAAAAAATATCTGTTTACATTAGACTGAAAAAAATTAGAGTAGTTGTTGGTGTTTCTGCTGTACAGAAATAGGATCAGAAGTTCTACCACCAGTCTGGGTGTAAATGGGTTTGATCCAGTTTCTTCCTGCAGTCCAAACACACACAGGTTAAGGTAATTGTTCAACTCCACCCCCCAACATTCAGATGTAATGATACATAATTTGTCAATTTAACTGTTTTTGTTCGGTTTACATTTGAAGAAAAACAATAAATGACAGTGTCGTCTGCATACAGTATAACCCTAATGTGGAAACTCCAGGTTTCCAGGCTAAAAAAACATCAGCAGAAAATTCAAAATCAGTAATCAGAAACAAAAACAGTCAGTTATTTTCACCAACAAAACACACCATTATTAAAGTTTCTAAACCCTTATCTATGACCCAACTTGGCTCCAGAGCTGACAGCCTCCACTTACCAGCAAGAGCTGCAGAATGGTGTCTCCCACATTAATAAATGTCTTAGTTAATATTAACAACTGCCAGGGGAGAAAAGGCTCAGAGGAGGTATTTCTAGAAACTCCCGGGGGCGAGCATGTCAAATACATCTATCTTATTTAATCTCAATACAACACTAGTCGACTTGTACTGCACCCCCTCCCCCCATTCTAAATCCAATCATTAAGTCTTCTCCTCTTCACTGCCCCCTGCTGCTTGCTTTCACTTGTCGGCCTCCTGACTTCCGACTCACATGGATTTTTGTAGTGCAGCTTTTTGAATCATCATTGTTATAATCCTATCTTTAAGCGGCAGCACAGAATTAAACTTTCACTTTTCCAACACCTTCCCACCACACTGCTTTTTCAACTCCTTCTCTGCCCCCCCCCCTCCCCCTCTGTGAACATTCTGTTTACTTCTAGCAGCAATGACTGTGTCACTGAGGTGTGGGCTCTGTTTGTGTTATTCCATCATTTTGAAACATTTTTAGCTATCCTCCAGCAGTGTAGCTTTACAGTGTTTTGAAAGTATGATTCATGGTCTTTACACTTTACATTTCTCCTACAGTCCAATGGTCTCACTCTGAGTGTAAATGTTTGTCTTGTGAACCTGTGAGTCAATGAATGAATGAATGAAAGGACAGTTTGCCCTTGTCTGAAGAGAATCATCAAATCATCAAATCAACTCTCTCACTCCAGTCCTAATCATGTCCCATTTGTTTTTCGTTGAAAATAATTAATCTTTCCGGAAGGATGTTCAAAGCCTATAATTAAACTCTAATTTTGGTGACACTCTAACATGTGTGTGGGAGGCTAATGCTTATCAGGAGGCAGCAGTAACCAGTACATGATGACCAGAGGCGCTCTAACAGATCAGTGAAATGACGTGACAGGTCGGTGGCCTTCACACTGGAGCCCACGCAGCTCCAACTCCACTGACTGGGCGTCCTCAGGCTTTCCTCTTCAACCAACACCGTTTAAGACACTTGTTTTCCTACTGTGACACGTTCGCTGCGTTCCCGACTGAGATCGAGATTTATAGACAGTTTCCAGTGTCCCTTTAATGGACCCCGAACCATTAAAGTCATATCAATGCAACAGAATCCATATAGAAATGAAAAATGTCTTTTTTTTTCTTCTTTGAAATTCTCCATCCAGAATTGAGCAGGGAACAGGGTCAGGAGCAGATTGATGTAGTCATGCATAAAGGCTAAAATGCTTAAATGCTTTCAGCTTTTTCTACACCATCTATTGGGGAAACATAGGTATTGCAGGGAAAAGGCAGAAGTATAATGATAATATAGATAAATAATATAATTTGGAAAGGTTTGGCAGGCCAGATTAAAAAGCTGAAAGGGCCACATCTGGTCCCCGGTCCTTAGTTTGCTCATGCCTGCCCTATCCCATGCCTCCTCTACTGTAACATCAACCAAAGAAAACAGTTTGGAATAAAGTGTTGCCTTAGTGTGTGGAAACCAACTGACTGGATTTATTTTCAGTCTGAAATTTTACTGTGAAATACTTAATAAATACTAACTTATGTACTGCTTATGTTTCCTGGTTCCCAGGAATAAGTCACGTTTGTGTTCAGTTACTCACAAACTACAGTCATCATCAGAGTTAAAAAAAGAAACCAACTGGTTCCACCCTCGTGTCACATTTGGCGTACTCCGCCTCTCTGGTATTTACTGATTCTTGTTGATCAAACAGACCATTGAGGGTTCTTGGACCAGAAGGGAATCGCTTGCTGCCAGTCGTCCTGCCTCCTCCGAGCTCCTTGTCTTCTGTCGTCATTGCCCAGCTCTATTTTAATTCTTTTGTAGTGATGTGAAAATATTTAAATCCCTCTGAAAAACCTCCTGGATCAAGTGTAGCTCTAGTCAACACAGACACAGCTGGCCTTGTGTATCATTTTCAGTGTGTTTGGATTTTGAACGTCTTTGTTTCTTGTATGGAAAAATTGTTATTTTTCTATTAGATATAATGATCAATTGAACTGTTTCATGTGCAGGCAAACCAATGGTAAAATAATCACAATTATAAGATTTATTTTGAAGAAAGAAACTGGACTTTTTTTCTAACATTTAACATTATTTTTATCATTAATTTAATTATTCTGGTCGAGTTTTTACTTATAATTGTTTGTTCTTATTGTGTGGACTGGGTTATTAGAAAAAAAAAGAAAAATAGGGAAATGGAAGTCTTTCTTATGCTGTATCCTTTTCTTTGATACAGTTTAAAAAGGTTGAAAACATAATGCCGGCCTTACTCAGCAAATGAACGGAACCTAAACTTGGGAAATCAGGTGACAAGCTGCATGTTCAGCAAAAAAAGAAATTGTGAAATTTCTTCTTCCTTATAATAATTGCGAAACCAGCCTCATGCTGATTTAGGTTGCACTTGTTAAATTAAAATTATTTTTTAAACCTTCCATGGGTTAGACATATGTGAGACCTGGTTCCTGTGCAGATTCTGGTTTATTTCAGAGATCAGTCCCATCAGTCCAGGAACTCTATCCTTGACTTACATTATAAAAGTTACTTCAGTAAAAGAAGGGTCAGAGAAGGTTTCATTTCTCCTAATTCTCACTGATCAATCCCTGGCTCCGCCTCCTGACTCTTCTGATTTGACTTCTCTCCTCAGAGTAATTTCACTCCAGTGTTGGGCTGGAAAAGGCTGCAGCAAAACTCCTGAAATTGCAGAAAATACTCTTTTTGGTACTTTCTTTCATTCAGGCTCAGGTGAGTTTCTGATTTTCAAATAATAATGATAATATATATATTTTTATTTTACATTAACATTTTCTTTATGTACAGGCTAACCCAACATGGCTGTTGAGTATCGGGCATCCACAAACATGGACATGGAAGAAAGCAAAATTGGCTACAAGTTGTTTCTGATGGATGGCAACAACATCAGCTACTCAGGTAAAATAGAGAAGATTTGTCCTGTTAACATGTTGGTTTGGAATCTTCCTGAATGTTGTGGGGATGAATGTCTTTTCTATATTATCTATTCTTACCAACTTGAACAATTAGTCCTCAGTTTGATCATTTAAAGCTGCTAATAACAGACTGATGGTCAGGGGTCGTCAGGAGTCTGTGCTGACTGGACTACGGTGGGTGGTGGTGGGAGAGGAGGGGTGTTCACTGAAACAGTAGTAGTAATTAACTAAAGGCTTTAATGAATACATTAATTAATTTGGTAATTAACTGGACTTACTGCTGGAAGAATCTTGGTGTTTAGCCTCAGCGTGGCTGAATGGGAGTGGTCGGGGTGGGGTGGGGCTAAATAGGCCTCTGGGATGAAAGAAGTTTGACTATCCTCTTGTGAAGTTGCGACTATTTCATGTCAAAATTTGCACCAAAGATTTATTTTCAAATGACACCTGGAAGTTCCAGAAATCACTACATGAAACCTCAGTTTCTGCTTCTGTTTTCATGTCAGTGAGAAACAACCCATTCAAGATTGCTACCATCTGCCTGGGGATTCTCTGTTTCCTCCTGGTGGCTGGTGGCATCGGTCAAAGCCTGTACTGTAAGTCTGCCTCCATGTTTCTCATCACATTTTCCTTTTCTTCTTCTGGTCAATAGGAATGTTTATAATGTAACAAAACAAACAATCAAACAAAAAAAAAATCCATCCTTGTTTCATGTATGTAGTGTTTTTTAACCCATTATCTTCCCAGGGCTCTTCATTTCTTTCACTTTTTTTTACTTTTTTTTTCTAATATATTAACTGTGAGAAAACTCATTTCATTTTCCAACCTTAGCAGCACATTTCTGAGCCTCTCTATCCCGTCTTCTCCAGCTCAGTGTCCTGTCGTGAAGACACTGCAACTGTGTCTCAATCCTCCATCGCTCTCTTTTATGAAACTCCATTCCAGGTCAACATTTATCTCTTTTTCACAGACCGCAAAATGAACGGCGACAAAAGTGGCATGATAGAAACCTTGAACAAAGAAAAGCTGATTTTAGAAGAAAACATGAAGACAACTGAGAAGAAGAAACTGGATGTAGAAGCTCAGCAGAGTCAGTTAAAGCAGACTAATGTCCAGTTGTCCAAAAAAAATGATCAGTTGCAGACCAATTACAACTCCCTGGCTGAAGAGAGAACCAAAATGGAAGATGAGAAAAAACAGTTACAGACCCAAATTACTTCTCTAACCAAAGACATTGAAAACCTCAGGGCCAGTAAAAACTCTCTGGACATCAATAACAACCAACTGTCTGCAGCTGTAGACGTTTTACAGATTAAGTTTGATGCAGTAATGAAACGCAAAAGTGAGCTGCAGGTCCACTATGACTCTGTGGTCAAGGAGAGGGACAACTTCCAGAACAAATTCAACAACCTTTCTAGATCAAGTGAAAAAATGCAACTGAGTTACTTTGACTTGATTAAGAACTTTGAGGACTTACAGGCCAGATTCAACTACTCCAGCAGTGAGAAAGGCAAGATAGAAAACAGCCACCAAAATGTGACGGCGGAACGAGACCAACTGCAGCAGGCGTTGAACATCTTGAAAGTGAGCACGGGGACGTTGCAGTCTTCCTGTATGTTATTGACAAGGGAAAAAACAGAACTGGAAAAAAGTTGCAAAAATGTGACCGACGAAAGAGATGCACTGACAGTGAAAATCAGCAACTTGACAGCAGAGAGAGATGACCTCCAGGCCCGGGTGCAACAAATGAACATGACCATAAAAGGTAGGTCAGATAACTGACAAGAAAACATTTAATATATAAATATATCAGTGCTGAATTAAATGGATATATATCATATCAGATATAGGCATAAAGTTAATATCAAACATTCCTAGTTAATATCTAATATCTAAGAGCCACTGCAGAGTGATGCCACTGTTGTGCCATCATGGCCAATCAAATATTTGGGTCTAATTAATCACAGATCGTGACACAGTCCACTGATTAGATGGAGGTTTGAAGGGGTCGATGGTTATGGCCAGAGATAAAACAAAAGATAATTGTGATTCATTTTACATCCATAATGGTTTTAGTCCCTTTCTTAGTTTAACGTGACTGAAACATCGTTTTTCTATTTTTTTTATGTATTGCACAAAATATCACTAGACAAGACGTGTCCAGATAGCTGGAGGAAGTTTGAGTACAGTTGCTACTACACCTCTATCGGCAAGAAATCTTGGAAGAGCAGCAGAGAATACTGTCAAAGCAAAGGAGGTGACCTGGTCATCATCCAGAGCCAGAGTGAAATGGTGTGTGAAAAATCGTGTCCTTAAATCCCCTGGTCCATGTGTTGACATTTTAACTTTGTTGCAATCATGTTACAAATGTTTGTTTATTTGGTAGACCTTCATTAATGGCTTATACATGGATGACAAAGAAGCTTGGATTGGACTGTCTGACTCAGGAGTTGAAGGAACCTGGAGATGGGTGGACGGGTCACCACTGACCCACACGTAAGAAAACCAAGATTATATCTTTAAAAATGTACATATGAGGAGTGGGTGAGTGAGTAGGTCAATATGTAACTGAGTCAGTAAGAAAGTAGATGAGTATTTGAGTAAGTACTGCAAGTAGATGAATGAGAGAGTAGACGAGTAAGTTAGTGATAAATAACCCTTGTTAACTTTGTCCATTACTCATCCCAGGTTATAACTGCCTCCATTTGTCTGTCAGGTACTGGGCTCAAGGCCAGCCCAACAGCTACAACGGTCGAGAACAAGACTGTGTGGAGTTCTGGCATCGTGCCACAAAACAAGGAGAGTGGAACGACGAGAACTGCACTATAGAGCAGAACTGGATCTGTGAGATGTAGGTTCTTCTGATCTTCCAATAATAAATAAGTGCTGCAGCAGGGCGAAAGAAACGGTTTTGAAATTAGCAGCTAACTTCAGTGATTTGTGTTTATCAGCTACTTTAAATAGACAGCCTCCATGTTCATTAAAGGAGCAGCTGTAGGAGAGTGGAGCAGAAACAGACACACACTGACAGACCACAAACTATCGGTCCACTGTGTATGATGGAGTTTGAACATGCTGGGTTCCCACTGACCATTTCTGAACAGTTTCATTGGGCCCATATTGATCCTGATTGACACACACACACACAAAAATATGCAATCATTTAAAAACAAACAAACCAACATATCCTCCTTTTAACAATTTATTCAATTTAGGCCACAATAGACCAGTCTGTATTATACTGTTGACCGTCACGGTCCACATATCTTTGTTGAATCATATACACACACACACACATATATATATGTATAAGGAAAAGAAAAATAATGAAAAGAAAATGAAAGGCTTTTTATTGCAATTATTTACATGTGTATCAAAAAAGCAATATTTGACACATTTAGCAAGAGGTTGGATTTCAAAATAATTTCTATTATCAACTCAATCAATAAACATAACCATGAACTCAAACGACAGCGTAATTATATTCATGTGTAATTTCTTGATCTGTCTACTACAGTCACACATTAGAACTAACTTACTGTGCATTTACAGCTGTCTGTCTGTCCATTTGAGCCATTCATAAAATCGTATTAATAAATATACACATTTAAATGAAAACGATATCAATAAGTAATAAATACTGTATTTTACAATAAATCAAATCAAATATTTCTATTAGATATCTATCTATATATTTGTACATTTGATATGTCATAGAACTTGATAACTACGCCTGATAACTTCTCGTGAAAAGATACGTTTTCATCTAAGAGCTTCCATCATTTGCCACTGACTGTAGTCTTGTGTTTTTCTGTAGTGCCCTCTCCTGGATAGACGTTGCGTTGTGTGTGTAAAAGCAAAGACAAGTGGTTCCGGTGTTCTGTCGGATAGGTACAACCGTTAACAGATCTGTGGCTAAATACAGTGACCACCTGTCCCGCTTTACGTCTTATTGCACAGCAATTTTAGCCTCTGTCACGCTAATTGACCATTTTGTCCCACTTTTTCACTCGAAATTACTTAATTGAAAATAATCTATTGTATGTGACTGGCTGTCAATTGGCACGACTATCAGTGCAGTCCATAGTAATGATAGGCCACATTGTGGATATGGCGGTAGCTGACAGGCTGAGTGGACTGTCAATCAAACTGATGACTCGGAGCAATCACACACACTTTAGCGTCTGAAATCGTAGATGTTGTTTTGATACTGTAAAAGCGCCCATGTGCAGTGTGCCGAAAAAAGAAGAAGACGCCACCTTTTGCCTGAGACCGGTGGATGGAGTTTGTGAATCAACATTCTGCAAACGGCTTTATTGTCGGGGATGGAGGTGACTCTGCTGGGAAACGACATGGTGCACGTGAGTCTCACACAAGTACACAACAGAAAACATCCAGAAGTGCGTTTTTTCTGCAAACCAAATGACACTGAGTTAGAAAATAAAAATACTGTAGTAGAAATCACTAGTGTTTACCATGCAGTACATTAATGCTGTAGAGTGTAGTCAAGGTTCACTCTGCACAGAGCTGTATAGAGTTCTACAACGATGGCTATTGACTCTTGTTGTAGTCTAGGTTCTAACATAAGGTTTCCTTATGTTGTAGGTGTTGGTTTTACAGAGACCTATTTACATTGAAATTGTTTATTTTAACCTCAGATCATATATTCTTGTGCCTTGTCTTCTTATATTATGTTAAATGTGGAAGAATTAAGAATTAATGTGTATACGTTTCAGGTTTAGGTTGTGTCTTGGATACTATAGGGTTTTTTGTTTGTTTTGTGGAGGTAAAAGGCCAGATAAGTGGATGCTACTTAGTTAAAAAAAAGGTTGGCTTTATCGTGGCTGTCCATCATTCTCACTCAAACCTACTACCTGTCACATATTTTGTTGGTTTGGAGGTGGTCATCCTATAGCTAAAGCGATCAGATTATAGTTTTAATAACAATTTACTTTATGACGGGTGAATTCTACCAATCGGATTAATACATCTGTAGTGTTATACACAGTATACTTTTCTGATGTGTGGATACGTGGCTACATGAACTTAAAGTACATGTGTACACTAAGAAGTCATAGTAATTCTGTATACATTTATATTATTATTGTTTATATCAACAATATTCTGTAAATAAAATGTTTCCAAAAATGAGTTAAAAATGCACTAAATCACGTAAAAACATGTAGCTAAGCCCATTTGAATGCTTAAAATTCAGAAACATCAATTCAATTAAATTAGAAAACAGAAAAATCCCAATTTATTCAACACTAATATCTATGCAAATATTTTCCCCAAAAAGTCTCAAAAATTCTTTTGATCCAACACTTGGGAGAGTCTTGTTTTAACAGCAGATTTGCTGCAACAGGCCAGAGTTGGGATCAAGTCATTGTTTTGCAAGTCTCAAGTCTTTCCCCTAAATTCCTGAGTCGTCTCAAGTCAAAACTAACAAGTTTCAAGTCAAGTCCAAAGACCTGCACCCTCAGATTCAAGTATTTTTAACCATGTAGTATATATATTTACACAGATCATGTATGCAATTAAAATGTGTATTTATTTAATTAAACAAGTACAAATTAAATTTCCGCAAAAAATAACTACTAACCTCCTAATTAACCAGTCATTTTTAACAACAGCTATGTACACATATCTTTTGTAGGCTTTTGTGGTTAAGTTGTGACGCTTTTCTTCATCTGGTATTTTTCAACTTTGTAAGAGGTAAAGAGTATTAAACAGATGTAAAGAAATCCCTTATAGCCACAAATGAATTGTACAGAAATTCCTCTTTAGTACTTACATTATTAATATTATTCTTGAGATCATGTTAAAATAAGTGTATTGGACTACTGAATATGTTTAGCAGCAGCAGCTAAACATATTTAAGCCACCTAAAAGAGGTACTCACACTAAGCAACTTATATGGTGGTTATACAGTTAAGAAAATACATATTATCTGGTTCTCAATAGTATTTTAATTCAGGTTGGGGGAGTAAAACATTTCTATACCATAAGTGAGGCATTTTTAGAAAAAAAAAAGTTTTTTGCCAATTATTATTTTCAGAATTGTAATCTTTCTGAAGTTTCTAGTCAAATAAGAGCATTCTATGAAATTTCTTATAATTTTTTTAAATTTTCTGGAAAGATCATTTAGCATTTAATTTTTGGTCAAATGTTGAAAAATTAAGATTAAAGTTTTTGGCAATTCCTTAAAAAATGTATCTTTTCTTCATGTTTCTTATCAAATTAAAGCATTTAGAGATTTTTTTTAGAAATTTATTTTTCTTAATTTCTTTTTTTGGTAAAACCTCTTTCATCTTTTTTCATGTATCTCAACAAAGTGTATAAATTATGCTAAAAATCCCCAAAAACAAAAGGGCACGACTGCACCTCGTTATCCAATCACAAGCGGGGTTTTTTTTGAATTTTTTTCATGATGGCATGTTTTGGGTGATTTTTGAA